ATATTTTATATATATATATTATATATTATGGGATATTTGCGAATACACTGGATATACAGATTCCTTGCACTTGACGCACAAAAATGAAAGTTTTATTTGCTCGAATTGTTCGATGTTTTTGTACATTCCCGCTTCCTTACTACTAAAGCGATCATTAATCGATATCGAGTATGGACAACTTCAAGGCGATGAACCTATCTTTTTTTTTTTATTACATTTGCATTTTTTTTCAACAAACAGGTGTTTTATTTTACTTTCCGCGCACGCAGATTTTTTAGTATACATCCGTTTCGGTTCAAGTAGGGAAAATACGCTAGAATATGCAAGTGAAAAGAAAAATACAGATATTCATCGATATTCTCTCTCTCTCTCTCTCTCTCTCTCTCTCTCTCGCGCGCGCCTTCCCGCGTTCACGCTTGTTCCGATCGCAGCAAGGTTGGACAACCTGCAATCAGAAAGAGACAGATCGCCGAAATGCCGCGCTCGAATTGTGACATCCTCAATTTTCGAGTAGGTTCTTCTCTTTTTTTCCCCCCTCTCCTCCCATTTTCTCTCGTATTGCGCGCGCGAAGAAATCATTGACTTAAAAGGCGGTCATTGCGGATCCGGGGCTAGTTTCGCGTAGCCAAGCTTCTGGAGCACCTCCTTGATCTCGCGGAATACTGTTGGATCCTCGATCGTGCTCGGAAGCTGAAAAGTCAAGACTTCAAGTTAACGACGATGGAAGGAGAAGTGGCGGGTGGGGTAAGTTTTTCAAATTTAAAGGAAGATTCTCTTCAAATATCGCATTATCAATCTTTTTCTTGACGTAATATATTAAAATATTGATACATTTCTTTTGCATTTCGTTCGCTAACGATATACACTCGTAAAATCCGGCAAAAGTAACAGCCCAGTATGCAGAATGTCTAAAATCTATAATAAGACATAACTTCAAGATATTTTCCAAAATTTTTTATGAAATATCTTTAGCTGGAGCTTTAGATTTTTGAGACTTTTCATAATTAATTAAAACAAGTAATTTTACTTTTATGGTAATAACTCTCTCCTTTAAAAAGCCAGATTTACGCGATTGGATCAATTTAGACTCGCAGTTTTAGTATTAAAGATGTTTCTTAAGGATATTCGATATTTTGCTAACATCATCGTAAAAATAATATAAATTTGTAAACCAATTAAAGAATTTTACAAATAGCTACAGAGTTGCTTTCTTGGCTGAATGCTGCCAAATTACTTTTATGTTTGGCGGGATGACGAACGACTTCACATCGAATTCGCGACGTTTGAATTTCGATTGGTTCTGTTCGGCGCGTGGTAAGTGCGCTTCTATCGTATAATTTATACGATCTTACCTTGACTTGCTTCGATCGTGCCAACGTAGCGATCGCTTTCCGGATTATTTTTCCCGATCGCGTTCTGGGTAGCGCGGTAATGGCGGCGGCGGTGCGAAAAGACGCGATCGGTCCCAACATCTTCCTCACCCGCGTGACTAGCTCTTGATTTATCTCTTCCTCGTTGCTTATCGCATCTGAAAAAGAATGATCCTTTTGTTAATTTTATTGTATATTAATAATTCACATATACTCGATCTGCTATTATTAATTTAGGGCGATTTCGATCGAACTCCCATCAACTTAATTGAGGATTAATTAAATAAAATTATTGAGAGTGACTCATTATCCTCAATCTCAATTTTTCCTCTTTTGTATGTCAAATAATAAAAAAATTCTATTGCCATTATATTTCTTGCACTAAGAAAAAGTGTATTACACTGTTAGAAATGTAACCACGAGCTTCTTTTATATATAAATGAAGCTCGTGGTTATGAACAAAATTAAAAGTAATGAATGATTTGACTGAAAATTAAGTTACAGTAGTTACTTAAATGTAATGAACGTGTACATTAAATTTCGTAAATTTTCATGAAAAATACATTAAATTTTATATACATGTACACAAATATACTTTTTAGTTATAAATACATTAAATTTAATGTAATGTCTTGAAATTAAGTTCAAATTGTGTAACTTAAAAGTTAATGAAATTTAAGAATATTTCTAACAGTGTACATTTTAATAAATATTTATTTTAATAGTAAATAAATTTTAGTAAATAAATATTAAAGTAAATATTTACTTTAATAATAAATAATTTGCAGTAAATAAATGTTTACTCAACAAAAAAATGATAGTTAAATTAATGATTTTTGTATCAAATAAATATATCTTTGTATTAGTAAATATTTAATTAGTACTATTCAAATAAATGATTTATTAAAATTTAGTACTTTTTTTTCAGTGTAAATTTTTATTATCTCATTAAAAAAGAGTACGATTTGAATGCGAGAAATTTTAATTAAATCGAAATTGTTTCTATTTCTTTTGTTTCAAATTAATATTCAGATTGTTGTTAATTAATAATTCACATATACTCGATCTGCTATTATTAATTTAGAACAACTTTGACCAAATTCCCATCAACCTAATTGAGGATTAATTAAATAGATTTATTGAGAGTGAAACTCATCATTCTTAATCTCTATCTTTCCTCTTTCGTATGTCAAATAATAAAAAAATTAATAATTCTTTTTCATTAAAATAATAATAGGATGTTGATAAATTAATTGAAGTATGTTCTGATTGTTATATGATGCTGCGACTTCAATTAAACTTTAATTAACGTATATTGTATATACGTATTGTATAATCATTCATAATATATATTAGGTTAAGTAAAAAGTCATCGCGTTTTTTTAAAAGACATCTATCAATAAAAACCGCAATTACTTTCTTACCAACAATATAAATATATCTTGATAGAGTAAAGTTTCAGCTTTAAAAATCTCTTTTTTAAATTATACGATACGACAATTTTTAATGGAGTTATGAGCAATTAAAGTCAAAATAATTCTTTTATTTAATCCGCGATAACTCAGTAATCAAAAGTCGTAGGAATATTTAAAAAAAACGATTTTGTAGGGAAAGTATCAAGCTTTCACGATAGGTAATCGAAAATTTTCTCAAATTCGTTTTGGACACGTTACAAATCCACAAAGTGAGAAGAAAATTTTTCGTCTTTTTCAGCTCGTAGTTTTTGGTATGTAAAAATTATCAAACTCATATAAACTTAAAAAATGTGATAAGCTTTTAAAAGTAGAGATTTCAAGCTTTAAAACCCTTTTTTGAAATTTGAATTTCATTCATTATTGACGAAGATATTGTATATACAACTTTGAGCTAAAAAATACGCGATGACTTTTTACTTAACCTAATATTATGAATGATTAATTCAATTGCTCGCAGTAAAATTACTAATTATATAATTTATCTCTAATCAAATATTTCTATCCATAAAAAATTAATAATTCTTGATCAATAAGAAATTAATGTCTATGTTAAAGAAAATTATTAATATAGATATTACTTGATAAGTTAATCAGGATTTGATTGAAATTACTATTTCAATACTGAATTAAATTGAAATTTATTACGGAAAAATTTTTACAGAAATATCTATTTAGTTAAATACACAGATCTAAAAATGTAATTATGTTGAACCATCTAAATAATTATGTACAAAGGAAAGGAAATGATTATGGAATAATGTTTTGTAGCAGTGTGCATTCTGGAGGCGATCATCAAGATATAACTTCTTTACAGTCTGCTTAAATGTTATAAGATGGCTACTGTCGTAAGGTTTTACTGCGTTGTCATAAAAGCTGCATTTCAATGTGTAGATAGCATATCATTTTATAAGTGTATAAGTCCAGCTTAGAGATCTTGAATGTGGCTTTCAAATATAATTGAACTAAATTTGATAACCAAATGTATTTATTATATATATCCAAAGTGTAAAGTTATACTATATATTAGTTGATGATATTTCATATCCTCCCTTCTATTCCATAACTTCAACTTTTTTTTTAATAATTTTTTCTAAATTACATTTGTTGTATATATTTAAAGAATTTTTACTTATATATCTTCTTTTTTCTTTAGGTCCCCGTATAATTGATATCACTTTATAAAAATAACTCAAACTACTAAAGTAATTATGTCACATGAATATCTACTAAAGTTATTTCAGTAAAATTAAGTTATTTCATAATTTTCTCCTTTTTTCTACGCTCAAGCATAATGATAATCTGCAAAAACTTTTGCATTTTATCAATCAACTTTAATATAATTATTTAGATGGTTTAATATAATTATTCTTAGCTCTGTGCTTTGCTTAATTTTTATATACTTCAGTAAAAACCATTCTATTCGTATTTATCTACAGTATGTAAAAAATTTGCTGAACATAAACGTTAAAATAATAGCACTTTTTTCGAGGAATCTCTTCCAAATGCATTAAAATAAATGTACCAGAGAAGTGTCCAGACATATACCTATGTCTGGACATTTACACAAAAATTTATTATTATTAATCTCGAATGCTTTTTTACTGTATTATAATTTAATTGCATTTAAAAATTACAATTAAATTATAATATTACGTTTTAAAAAGTGTATTATTAACTTAAATAAATAAGGTGTTATGTAAATGTCCGGACATAGATACGTGCTACATGTCCAGTCACTGAGACCGGACCTATGTTCGGACACAGTTACACAAAACTTTATTTATTTATTTAAATTAATATTAATCTCAAATGCTTTTTACCTTAAAAACTAATTTGAATTAATTGTCTTTAAATATCTATTTATATTAATATTTCCCGTCAGCATACTAATTTTCTAATTGTGGTTGGACAATAGGTGTTCTTGTTTATCCTGTAGGTTAAACAAAGACATCTATTGTATAAGCCACGGACTAAATGCACAGAGTAAACGTAGCCAATGAGACAATTACTTCCCAATATCCAGCCACTGATACATTGACGCATTCTATTACTTATTTAAATATTTTAATTAATAATTATTATAAGTGAGTTGAAATAATTCTTCCTTGCTTAAGGGAGTCTTGAGTTTTCAAATGAATACAAATATTTATATTAAAAACCTTTCTGATATTATAAATTGTATTATTTATGACAATGCTTAAACATCTGGCTACTGATACTTTTATTTTACGAACATACCTTCTCGTCTAACGTAAAGGCACAGCGGTACTTCCCCTTTCGTATGATCGGGTACACCGACAACTGCGGCATCCACCACGTCGGTATGAGCTAAAATAATATCTTCTAACGCAGACGTGGATATTCTGTGGCCAGCTACATTTATAATATCATCGTCTCTCGCTGTGACATAAACATAGCCGAACTCGTCGATGTATCCCGCGTCCATCGTGTCGTAGTAACCCTGCAAAAATATCGAAATCTCACCTCACGAGCGAAATAAATGCCCCCCAATTTGATTTTAATAGGATCATCTCGTAATCGAAATAATTAGATAATCTCCGAGTTTGATTTTAACAATAAATCCTCCGGCAAGGAGAGGATCTGGAGTTGATCTCTTTTTTTTGGCAAAAATATTTTTAGCATCGAAAACTTTCAAATCGCATCAAGATTTCAAATCGCGAAAGATTTTTGTAAATTAAAGCGATCCGTAGATGATATTATTGCACAATATTTGATTGCATAATATTAATCAACTGAAGGCTATATTGAGTATTTTTTCGTCAATAATACTGTATAAAGTAATTGTGTAATGTTATTGATTGTTTAAGAGCAGCTTATATATATAAGTTTCAAAGGAAAATTGAATGAGGTAAAAAAAACAGTAAGCCCCAAGGCATCCAAGGAATACAAAGTTAAGGCATCAAGAGAAAGTCAAATTGACTTCATTTTCTCGCCATGAAAGTAAAAAATGATGATTTTTTGTTATAAGTGACTGTTAATTGATATTAAGAATTAAAATAAGGTTATTTTGATTTTTTGTTGATTTACGTTTCTTAGATAGGTTTACGTATGTATGTGTATGCATACGAAATATATATTTGCTCCGTGACATCGTAAACGTAATTTGCACATGATAATGTGTCGTGCGTAATGTAACGTTTACTTACCGGAAATGTCGAAAAGTATACTTGCTTGAACTTCTCGGATGCCTGATAAAGGGTCAACATGAATCCAGGTGGCAACGGTAACTTTATCGCGATACGTCCGAGTTCGTGTTGTGGCGCTTTACTCCCGTCTTCGCGCAAGACATGTACTGTCGATGATAAATTTGTAAGTAATTTTGCATAGAGACGATCAAAAAGTTTATTACGAAGCGAAATGTTTAGACAGGGAAATAATCAAACGTAGAGTCATAATAAAAAAGTTCTCGAAAGCATTTCTGAAAACTATCGAGAGGACTCACTTTCATATCCGGGTATAGGAAGTCCCGTACTGAATTTGGGTAAATTAGCGTAATGACCATATCCTAAGCACAGCGCTGTGACGGGATGTCCGGTCTCCGATTGCCACCAATGATTCAAAATGGGTACTTTGAACGTTTTCTCTGCCCAGGCTTTCGTTTCGTAATCACAAAACTCGCCGGCCACGAATATTGTTTTTAAGCTGAAAGAAAAGTTGCTTGTATAAGGAATTTGTTTGCTAGTAAACATCAACTAAAAGTGACATATTACATCCCAGTAAACACACTGTATTATATTATAGTTATCTTGTTGAGCTGACATTGCATCTAAAAAGTACGTTACATGTAACATTATGTTTACTGGGATTATGTTATACTTTTACATTTACCAAATAAATATAATATAACAATACTTGTGTTACATATTACAGTTACATTGTTGAATGAGAAATTATAACATCGATGTTATGTTACTTTTAAGTGGTGTGTTTACATGATCTCATCTGTTTTTAGTTAATTTTTACAAGAATTTGTTTAATTATAACGGGAAAAACGATTTTGTTAAAATACGTTTAGAGTTAGAAAGAAATCTGAAGATAATTTTGTTAGAAAAAAAAAATTATGTAGGACATTCGCACTAATTGCTGGAATATCAAAACTTTTTGCAGCATTATGCTTGAGTATCTTTCATAATTATTTTGATAGTCTAACAAAGTTATTTTTAGATCTAATTGAATTTTTAAATATTTCAGCAAAATCATACATATAAAAAGAGGCATATTTTGATACGAATAACATACACGTATATTACACAAAATTATTCTGAAAAAGATGGAGATTACGATAATTTATTTTTTCCTTGATTATATTACAGTTCGAAATAATTAAATATCATGATTAGAGAATTAGTAATCAATTGATGGATTGATTTGAAACTTACGATTTTAATGAATATTTTTTTCCCAAAAGCGTTTCCGGATCCGCACGTTTTATAACTCGTAGAGCAGTAGGCACGCAGAATATTCCATTTATGCTATGTTGCTCAATAAGTCTGGGGAAAAAGAAAAAACTTCCTTAAAGAAGTCGTTACAGATGATGTGACATCATACGAAAGTAAGTTAATCCGTAGAAGTAGTAATAAACGAAATAAGTCAGACACGTACTAGCATCTCATTTGCCTACAAACTGCGAAGGAATCGCTCCAGAAATAGATATTCATAGTCGGATCTTACATTTAAGACCGTCTTAAGATGTCAAGAACCAAATAGAGCAACAAGACATTAAGACGGTCTTAACAGAAGAACGGACCATGAATACCGTCCGTAGATTTCTTGAAGAAATAAAATTATTATATGAGAAAGAAGAACAGCACAATTTAAAAAATTACGGTTAATATTTATTACAACCTTCTCAGGCTGTTACAAAACTGATTTTTCAGTTGGCATGAAAAATATTTGTAGACTTTTTAAGCTGCGTATTTTTTAACAAAAACATTGATAAAAATTTGATTTTGAATAAAAGTAATTTTCTTTTTCTATCAGAAAATGCTTCTCTATATTTTTCAAGCAAAATGCTTTAATAAAAAAGTATTCAAACCTGAAATATTGACCAGCATCCGGTGTTCTGTCAGGTTTTCCTTCGTACATGACGCTCGTCGCGCCCTTAACGAGAGGGCCATAACAAATGTAGGAATGCCCGACAACCCATCCCATATCGGAGGCTACCCACCAAATAGAATTTTTGTTTATTCCATAAATCGTTTGTATGGACCAGCAGAGTGACACCAAATGACCGCCGATTGGCCTTAAAATCCCCTTTGGTTGCCCTAATATCAAATAATTTTTGTGATTGCACAACAGAGGTATGATTTCGGTATTCCATCAAAGGAAGCTAATTTACTATAACACTAAAAAAGCAAGAGATATTTCCGAGAATGAAAAGGAGTTGGAAGAGAAAATTTTTTCGAGTGTAGGAAATCAAAGGGAGAAAATTATATGATAAAATTCCCTTGCTTCATTTCCAGAAGCGTCGTTGGGTTCCTCTATTTATAAAATTATTAGCTATGTACGTTAAGTACTACCTGTAGTCCCCGATGTGTACAGTATATACAGTGGATCGTTAGCTTCGACCATTACGCATGGATGAGGTTTTGATCGCTTCATGATATCATCCCAGTCGAACTGTGACTCGAATAACGGTGCCTCCCATACATTTCTTCTCTGAAATACGATGCACTTTGGCTTCGGTACAACGATCATATCCAAGGCGCCGTTTAGCATAGTCGTATACCTGCACACAGAAAAAAAAAGATTTGTTAAAACAATTAAAAACTTCACTGATTTAGCAAATCTACAACCGTGATGTACGGGCAGCCAGTTTTTTGTGTTAAAGTATTATAGTAAAGTTAGACAGCTGAATAAAATTAGCGATTGATTATATTTTTTGTAACAGTAAATTTGTTTAATAAAGCAAAAATAACTTTCTCTGTGAAAATCAATCCAGTACATAGATAAAAATTTGTAACAAAACATACTGCCTAAGATGGCGTACTTTTATTGCTGCAATGAAAACTTGTTACATTAGCAATTTTCATTGTTCATAATTCAGCAAAAAATTTACTGAATTAGCATACTGAATTGCTTACAGACACAATTTTTTTGTTGAATCATCAAATCTTTTTAGTTATAGATGTTGAACTCGGTCAGAAAGCTATAACTTTGTTGAATCACTCAATCTATTTTTTTCTATGTGTATCTTGAATTAAAGATAGAATGTAAAAAGACAACGTAGATGCAAGAGTTTATATGAATAGGAATGTCTGAAAGATATTTGGCAGATTGCAGAGGTGGAAAATAAATTAATTGAAAAAGTTGTATTACTTAATATATAAATTAATACTAACATTATTAAATTAATATCAATATATATTAAACATTTCTTTGGAGAATTTTCTACTAATTTCTTGAAAAGAGCTAAAAGCACAATTTTGATAAATCTCTCATAATATTTTAAATGAAAAGACTTACTTAATTACTTTGGATGGTTCGAGACCGCAACTCGCAGCGATAATCACTTTTGGCTTGGCATGATCTATTCTAGACGCCAATTCATTTGCTGCAAAACCTGAAATTAAACGTATATTTACAAATATAATCTTGTTGTAATCGAATTGGTAAATGTTTATCATACTAGAAATATTTTTGCTGTACTACTGGAGTTTCTATATCACTATAAAAGTGACTTGACAATTTAAAAGACATTTGAAGGATAGCTTTATCTATCTTTTAAACAAAAAGTCTTTTAAATAATGAACTAGATAAAAAAATATGTGTATGTAAGAAACATAACATAAATATGCGAATTTTAATTGTAGTCAATTTTGTACTTGGTGTACATTTTACTGCACGGAGATAATTTTTTCTTAGAGTTTACCCTAAAAATATAATAGTCGTAGGACAACATTGTATTTCGAAAATTTTTTTAATTTCTCTCATTTATTAATAAAACTACGATAAAGTATAAAATAAATTTGATTAATTTTACTAAAGTGCATGGTAAAAACTAAAAATCTTTAAAATATTGTATTATACCACAACTATTATATTTTCGGGGTAAATTTTAAAAGATAATTCTCTCCGTATATTGATTCTATTTTTACGTGATCTACATGAAAGACATCTCGGTACGCGATATATTTTAGCAGTCAGGGTTGCCCTAAAACTGGAAATCAGGGAAATTGAAAATGGTCAGGGAAATCAGGGAAAAAACCAAGAAACTTTGCAAAATTTTTTGAAAAATTAAAATTCTTGACTTTAAAGAAGTTTAATATCACACCTACGCAATTTTGGAATACTATTAACTTAATAATTAAATGTAAGCAGTGTTTACAATATTAATAATAGTAATTTACATTATGTTAAATTGTTCTCTCAACAAAATATTCGACGGTTTCCAGGAAAAATACAAAAAAATTCAAAAATATTGTTGAAATTAGGAAAATCATGAAATTTTATTTGGAAATCAGAAGAATTATAGAATTTTAGAATGAGGAATTTGTATGGAATTTGTATACAACTCTTGGCGAACTTAATTTACATAACGGTCGCGAATACCATCATCTTGTTATTACCTCCAAAGACCACCGAATGAATTGCCCCTAGTCTGGCAGTAGCGAGAATTGCGATTATAGTCTCGGGGATTAGCGGCATGTATATAATCACCCTGTCCCCTTTGCGGACGTCTAGATCCGCCAACGCGCCCGCCAACACGGACGTCTTTTCCAAGAGCTCGTTGTACGTCACTTTGCGTATTGACGACGTTTGGGGGCTATCGTGAATAAGGGCTGTTTTTTCCCCATATCCGGCATGCACATGGCGATCTACCGCGTTGTAACAAGCATTCAGTTCACCGCCGACAAACCTAAGAAGGAAAAAAAAAAGAGATTTCTGTACCTTTTCTGCAGTCATAAAGTATTCAATTGGAAAGATTTTATTCTATTAATTGTTCCTTAAGTTCTATATAAATCTCATATATAATATCGTATATTTAAACGCAAAATTGAGAAGTAACCCTTTACTTAATTGTAATATTATTGTTACTTTTTGCAGAATAACGATTATTTTCTTCTATCTGTATCAGTAACATCGTTACATTTTTACAGTAACATTACTGAAATTAACTTATTGTTATTTATTTATATATATATTTTTTAGTTCCCTATTATTTTTATTCAATAAATCGCGTTATTTTTTACTGAAGAAATATTTTATTAAAATAGCAATTTAAATATTGAAACATATTTTGTATTTTATATTTTAGGATGCATTCCGATAATCATTTCTGTGGTGAAAATAAAATGTTTACGATTTTTTTTGCAAATTACAGAGTATTAAATAATAGATATATATAATAGATATACATATAGAATAGGTATAAATATATTGATAAGATTAGATCATTTTATATTTATAGTTTACTACATATGTTTTATTTATATTTTTCTTTTTCTTACTTTTCTCAAAATATGATTTTAAATATTGTATAAAATTAGAGTGCAACGTACCTAACTTAATTGTTTGTAAGACAGACCATAAGCTAAACTTAATCTTTATATATAATGTTGCTTTATTAGGAGATATAATGATATAATGTTGCTTTTACAGGAGAAAACTCTTCAAACAAATTGTTGCGTGACATCTTGCGAACAATAATAAAGTATGAAATATGTAAATAAAATCAACAAAAACATTTTAATAAAAATATTCATAAAACTTTTCATATATATTCACTTGTAGGTATTTTGTACAGATGATTCCCGTGACAGAAAAAGAATAGGAATATAATATTTCTGCCACTGTGTCAGTTTTGAGGTTTATATTGTCAAACTTATTTTTGCTTATCTTACGAAAAAGTTAATTATTGCAAAAATAATATAAAAACTGCTACATTATATGATAGAAGACACTTTTTAGTTTGGAAATATCTAATATTTTTTTAACCTTTGGACCAGCGGCATTAAAGATCATCAAAATCTCATTGAAAAATAACCCTCATTGTAAAAACATGTGTTTATATCAAGGATATATCCTATATATTGTTTCTATCACTACTTGAGCCGATATATCGATTTTCCAGCGGGGAAGATTACGAAAAAAATTAAAATTTGTTTAATTTGTAAATGCATATATAATGGGTTTGTTGTTTGAGGTCTAAATACTGTGGTGAGATCAGAAAATAATAATGTTGAATGCTGAAACCATTATTGCATGTAAAATAGCAGCAAAATAAATTTTGGGTGGAACTCCTCTTCGGCTTTACCCACGCTAACTCAGAGAGTTTGAGTAACTCCTTTTTCTTTTTTATTTTTTTGTTTTTTGAGTTTTTGATATTTTTTTTATTAAAAAATTTTTTATTTTATTTTTATTTTTTTATTTTTTAGTTTTATTGATTTTATTATATATCACAGTTTTTAACTAGATCATGAAATTAAAACGAGCCAATTTTAGTTCGGTTTTCCGATGGTCTAATGGTTAACATTCTCAAATGTTTTCTCTTTTGACTCTGACTATTAGTTTTCAATTTTGGTTAGTAAAAAATTAGAAAAACTCGCAAAGTTTAGGTCGACTACCTTAGGACCTAGATAATGGAAATAGGAAAATTTACGAAGTTTCTTTTTTTTCGAAAACCGTTAAAGAGAATAAAAAAAATTGAATAATCTCGAAAAAATTATGATTAGAGTTATATAATATAATTCTTTTAATGATTTTTTTGAGATACCATTTCGTGAATGGCTCGTTGGAATTATCCAACACCTTGTGCCATGGTTTGTTCCAGTCGAGACAGCCGGCAATCTCGCCCCAAAATTCTTCCGGCGACTCCAGTGACTTCCTGTATGCTTCTTCGTACGTAGGGCAATCGTTGCAATGTGGGCTCATAATATAATCTGCAAGGAAACGTTAATGAAGACGATAATAATCTTTTCACCACGCACAAAGCACGGCCTTTAACCTTTGACAAAACTTGGCATCGCGGAAATTACCGTTTATTACGTTACGAAGAAATGTCTAGTAAACTATGTCGAAGACAGTAACTTAACAAACTTTACAACAATGGCTGCGTGTTCAGCAGAGAAAGCTGCTTTGCAACTGTTGTAAAATTCTTCATCTACGATTGGTTCTTGCTTTCGGATTTTTTTCCTTTCCTTATTGATCTAAACGTATAAACCAATCATATTAAAGAATTTAAACGCAGCCAATGTTTCCAGTTCATATTAACCCTGCAGCAATACCGCGTCAGATTTACGCGTCAGATTATCAACGAACTATCAGAATGTTTAGCCATATGTCATCACTCCATTTAATTATCGTAACATGACATGTGAAATATTATGATATATTTGAAAACGCTTTCCTTGACGTAATAATATTGATTCTCCGATATTTTTTTTTACCCGGCATGAATAATTCATTCCAATGCGCCGCTCATACATCACGCCTTGCACGAGAAGTTCGTAGCAATTTTCTATCCTGGCCGCTTTTCTTTAACGTCTCGTCCACGTATTTGTTTCCGTGTATCGTGAATTAGAAGGTATGTCGTGCAACACGTTGCCTTAATACACCCCGATGTCGCGAATAAACGAGACAATCGCAAGAAGAGAACCACCGTGGATCACCTTTCCGTCTTGTATCTCGTTTCACTCCGGTTCTTCCTGTAAGCACGCATCGTCGCGCATCTCGTGGGACCATCACCGCGATATTTGTCCGTTACGGAGAAATGTAACACGACTGGGAACGATGACTGGAAATGAAAATCTCCGAGACGTTAGTTTGAATTCCTTATGACGCGTAGATTACATTTTTTCTTTTATTCATTTATTTTTTTTCATTAAATAAGGATTTGAAAAATCTTTTTCCTCGGAAAATGTAGTAGAAACATCTACCGCGTGGATAATAACAAAAATCAAAATCTCGTATAGTATTAAAAAAAAAGTATTATTTTTTGCGAAGCGAAATAAATATATAAATTGCTCATTTGCTACAGTAACGTTACAATTTAAAAACAAAGTAATCAATAGGCTCTAAAGAAAATTCTAAAAAATAATAAATAAAATGCCAATTTGAGCCGACACTGGTTATTAGTGTGTATTTTAATACCATTTATTCAAAGTGAATATTAAATTAAACACGTGGTGGTGATGTTTCGAGTTAATTTTGGTCATTAAATTAAAATATTAAGTTAAATGACTATCAGAATTGAACTGTTTTTATAAGGTTTGTTGCACATGTTTTCTCGCTTTTTATGTTATTAGTTTATACTCGTATGCGCTACCATTATGTAATTTTGCTAATATATCTTTTGATAATATTTATCTAATATTTCTTACTGAAGAGGACTTTGGCCATAGGTCGAAACGTATACGTTTAATATTCACTTAAATGGTATTAAAATACACACTAATAACCAGTGTCGGCTCAAATTGGCATTTTATTTATTATTTTTTAAAAATAAAGTTTTTTAGAAAATGGGTTTTCAATTTTTTAGGTTATTTGGGGAAATTTTAGGAAATTTGAATATTTTAGCTTATTAAAATTTTGTAATATTTATAATTTTGCAATTTTGATGCAATAATGATTGTAGAGGACTAAAATGTTCTTTGTTTATGTTCTTGTTTTACTTCTTTTTGTGCAAGTAACTCCAAAATAATAATTTTTTAATTATGCTGTAGCAGATAAGCGATATTTTATCCGGTATTTAATGTATTGATGTGTTTTTGAACAGAGAGATTACCAACAACGATTACCAACAAAATATATATACATTATATATACAAGAAATTTTTTCATTTGCTCAAAAAGATTAAAAGCTGTTTTTTAATAGCTGTTTAACGGAGATTATACAAGAATATTATTAACTTATAGACCGTCCCGAAATTCGCAAATTAAAATATTACAACAAAAATTCCTGAAAAATTAAGTTGTAAAAATATTTGACCATTTTTCATTCCATGTAGTAGTTTTTGAGATATAAAAATGCACATTTAACATCGACATGCGATTTATAGACAGCCAGCCGTTTAACTATAATCTATAATTAGTTCATTTTACAAGAAACATAATGTTCCTAGTTCGCATTAGCTCCGTATTAACGTATATCAAATTGACAATATCTTCGGATTACTTGAATATTTAGTTATATATTATCACTTTGTTTAGTTATCGTGAGATAATGATATGAGTGCGTTACAATACATTTTAAATTTTAAATATGTTTCCTTGACAATTTTATATATCAAAAACCACTATAAATGATAAATACTTTTATAAATGCTTTTCAAGAGCTAAAATTTTAATTCACAAACTCTGATATATTCTGCATCTTCATGCTGATATAGAAAAAAAATCACTCTATGATAACAGATTCACAGTTTGAGTAAATGAGTTTAAAATATTCAGTAAAAGCGTAATAGCTTTCTCTCTTCAATTAGTTTGCAACTTATATTTTATGCATTTTCGAGGCGTACAAACTGAATCTATTCATCAAAAGAAGCTGTCTCTTTTATGCTATTTATTGTATAATCACATAAAATACATAAAGTCTCTGTTTTTAAATACGGTTCTGAATATAACATTTAAATGAAATGTATTAAATTTTAATAAATATATTTATTTGAATAATACTAACTAAATATTTATAATACTAAAAGTAAACATATATTTATTTGACACAAGAATCATTAATTTAATTTATTATTTTTTTATTGAGTAAATATTTATTTACTGTCATTTATTTACAGTAAATGTTTAGTTAGTATCATTAAAATAATATGTGTATTAAGATTTAGTAAATTTCTTGGTTAGTGTATAATGAAATAAAAATAAGAATGATATTATAATATTTTTTCAGCACAGTCGTTTTTTATATTCTTTGAGATATAAACTGTTTGAATATAATAACTGTTTTTTTAATTGTTCTCCTTGTACTGAAAAGCATTCACTTCCGATACTTTAGATTTAGTTCACTCCCTCGAGAAATTTCTTCTTGGTTGCGTTCCAAAACTTTACTACGAGTAAGAGAGTTAAGTTATGAACCAGGAGTCGGTACGTAGTCAAGACCGTTTTAAATAATGTCTTAAGATATCAATTACAGAGACATATTAACATTTTAAGATATTACTTAAGACGGTTTTAAAATAAAAACTAACGACATATATGTTGTTGATTATAAATATTCACGGTCCGTGAATTAACTCTGTTATTCAGAATAAAGGTTTGGCAAGTAGCCTTGGAATTATATTCTGCTTCTTTCTCTTTTTTATTATATGTGACACTTTAATATTGTTACCGCTAGATGCATGATAAATTACTTTACGGAAATGTGATATTTCTATACAATATTGATTTAATAAAGCACGAAGAACGTAGGCAGAAATTATTCATATTAATATATTGAGAGAGATAGAAAAAAGAGGAAAAATTATTTTTAAATATTACTTGCAAAGTTCTAGCGAGAAGAAGTCACGGCTTGAATCTGCTAGCGATGAATATTTCAGCTTTACGTTTTCCTATACAAACATGCCTCATGTGAAAGTCCTCCAGGGATTTGAAACCGAGGAGTTCTCGGGATGTATCAGATTGTGTGGCATCTTATTTCAAAGAAATGGGGAATTATATAACTCAGAAGCAATTATATTTGAGAAAACTCGAAGAAGAGCGAGTTCTGACTTCTAACAACAGCGAATTAAATGACTGTGAACGAATCTTCGAGATTTTGTGTGGCTAAATCTAGGTTGTATTTCAATTTAGCGTTTTATAAGAAGACAGATTTAATTACGGATAAACTTTTATATTATATTGTTTTGTATCTTATACATGCTCGTTTTATCAAACTCGACACACGATCTTTATACGGGAAATTAATAATAAAACAATCTCACAGTATCGTTCGACGTGTAAGAAACAAACACAAATGTACAATTTTCGTTCTTCTAAGTTGTATAGATTTATTTCTTCACGTGTATTGAAGGTGAAAGTGATATTAAATTTAATAATATTAAACTACTGTTAATGATACTATTTATTTTTTATTCTCAGTTATTTTTTTAAATACATTATTAAATGTATAAATCGTTAAAATCGTAAAAATGTTATATATACTGAGAGATAAGTAATCGGTACTTACGACTATAATTACATAGCGAAATAATAATTTTTTAGACCCTCCAGTTTCGTAATTATTACTGCTACAATGTTAGTAATAATATTTATATTAAATTCTAAATGGCTAGAAATTAATCATTTTGAAAGAGATATATATATACAATCTATATATATATATATA